TACTTTAATGCAACAATATATGAAACAAAACAGCAAAAGAATGCATCCCTAAACAAGCCAAAACTATCGTAACCACATTAAGCATATATAGACACAGGCACACTTATTGGTACAATTACAAATTTTGCACGACTTGATAAAACCAAGATGCATGCTTCTAAGAAAATATATAAAACCAAATCAAAAAGTAATTAACACACTTGGACTCGTCTTTCATCAAGTAAAAACGCGGGAGTTTTCCAAAATGTAGCTTGACATTGCAAATCACAAATTGCTCATCATAACATACATTCCCCAAAATTAATAGAAAAAACACAACAAATCTTATTTTTTTCAAACAAATGAATACTTTCTTAACTTTTCCTTTGATAAAATGGCAATAAACTCCATATATTTTCTTGTCATGGTGAACAAGAACAATATTCTTTATAACGCTCATGACAACTTTGTTATTACAAAAAGTAGTCTTCTAATTTTTAGTTGCATTCTAGGTTCAAAAAAAAAAAAACAAAAGAGTGCCTTACATACAAAAGAGTGCCTTACATATGCAACATATTTTTCACATATTTCGTGGGTCAAAAGTCCAAATCTAGTTTCTGCAATGCTTTTGACTACCATTAATTGTTTCTTGTACTGCTAGGTAGCTAAATACCCCTACGCATAACTGCAATACCCCATAGTTAAACTTCAATATGTTATTCATTTAGCCAAAACTGCATCATTAAATACATCAATATTTCTAATAGAAGTCTTCTTAAAGTATTCTTGGCATGCAATCCAATATTTCCCATAAGAGAGAAAAACATTGATTGGGTTTTGGATACAGAGGCAAACATCTCTTCATAGCAAACATCGCTTCATGATCAATTCCATTTAGAAAGGAAAATCATTTTACAAAAAAACCCAAAACCTGTCTCGTTTGCCATCTGGATTGTGCCAGGTAGTGAAAACTCACTTGCATCCAAGTGATCTTTTCCATGTAGGTATATCTTAGAGACTCAAAGTTATTATTTCTCTAGTAATTCAATTTATTCCAAAATAGATGTCTTCAATCTATGTTGATTAGGAGCTTCTTGTATGTTATTCCGAATATGTAAATCTTCCAGAGTGGTAGCAAAAATCAAAAGCTGCGAGAAAATCCTGCGATAAAGTTATAAAACAAATGTTGAGAGTATAAGATCTCAAACCCTTTCTAACATAAATAAATTGATGGAGATCATTAAGAACCTCAATAAAATCAAATTTTATTTGGATTTCACCTGCGCAAGTTAAAGTAGTCAATGAAGTTTGCACAGATTCCTAGATCTGCTTGATAGTTGCTATATATTTTCTTTGCTTGCATAGGTAATCAATTCCTAGTTTGATCCTTCTTGTGTGGTCATCAAATTTGAAGAATCGTGTTGATTTTGGATTGAGGTCATTTAGTGTTGAAATATGGTTGGGCTTCAAATTGATGTGGCTCAAAGTTGGAGAATGCCTAATATTGCGATTGGATGATGGTTGTTTGCAATTGCTAGGCATTCTCATTTTTCTAAAGCTAATATTATCAAGAGATAAGATTCTCCAACTGAATTGAAGATTTGAGATAACATAATTGATTCTCAGCAAAATGTTACATTCATGGAGTTGAACTTTCTTTTGATTGTCCAGTAACACTTTTTGCATTTTTCATATGGAGAATACCCAAGAAAAATACATTTAAAGGACTTTGGGTCAAGCTTCTTCGATGTTAACATATGTGAACAAAGGAAGTGCACATTAATACTTTGATGGAAATGGTGAAGACAATTTGGACGTTTGGAAATGAAGCGTTGGTCGGTACAAGGTTTTGAAGATTAATACTTAATGTGCCATTATGTTGATGAAATATGCTTCAGTAAGAACTATTTTACCCTAAAAATGCTTTGAAGCATAAAAAGATAATATAAGGATGTGATAAACTCAAATAGATCTATTCCCTTCAGCAATTCTATTTTGTTCTAGGTAATAACACAAATTTAAATATGTGTGTGTGTGTGTGTGTGTGTATATATATATATATATATATATATAAAAGATGGTTGTGAGACCTGCAATGCTTTATGGCGCGGAATGTTGGCCTTTAAAAGAGAAGCATGATACTAAGTTAAGTGTTGCCAAGATGAGAATGATGAGGTGGATGAGTGTCTTTACACTTACAGACAAAATGCGAAATGAATATACTTCGACCATGATAGGATTGGTGGTGCTCCAGTGAGGGACAAAATTAGAGAGAGTGTTAGAAGGTTTGATCACATTAAACGTCGACCAGCTGATGATCCAATTAGGAGAATAGATATTTTATATTCGACTTATGTCAAGAAAGACAGAGGTAGACTTGGGAAGACTTAGGCATATTGTATAAAAATGATCTTATTTAGTAGGATTAAATGAAAATATGACACTAAATAGGACGCAATGGAGAAAAAGGATTCATGTAGCCGACCCCACTTGGTGGGATTAAGGCTTTCTTGTTGTTGTAACAACACAAATTTTAATGCACTATTCTTGACGTAAAAGATGCTATCCAAAAATTTAGTGGCAGTATTCGATCTCATTTTTGTTTTGAAAACTTGTATACTTGGTTTGAATTTTATTTGAATCACGTTATTGGAATTTGATGATGTTTTGTGAAATTTTGCCTTTTCCCACATCAAAAATATCCATGTAATTTAGATATGATCACCAATAAATGTAGTGAACCATCTAAAACCTATAATGTTATTAATTCTAAAAGATCCCCGTGTATCGCTGTTTATAATAGAGAAAAGATGGGATGATTTACAAGAGTCATTTTGGTATGCATTGCAAACATACTAGGTTTAAATGCATTTTCCATTATTTATTTCATGTTTTCTTTATGCATTTTAGGTAATTCTTATTCTCCCATGAATGGAAGAGATGGGTGAAATTCCACAACAAACGATAATTGTGAAGTGAAATAGGCTATTTTTACTAATTATGAGAATATTTAAAAAAAACAAGATATCAAAGCCTACTTGCTGTTTAGATTCTTCTTAAACTTCATTATTATTAGAATGCAATACCAACATAACCAGTGCAAACCGCCTAGCTAAAAAAAAGAAACCCTGAATATAACTTCGTACTTCCTCACAGAAAGCAAAATACATCAGAATCATCCCCTAAAACAAAAAATTTAATAAGAACTGGCTCAGACACCGACTGCATGATACTCAACATTCCCCAAACAAATGCAACATTCCAGTGACATGGATTATGATACTCGACATACCCTAAATACGGCGATGCCAAAGCAACAATTCGGAAATGATTAGCTTCTACAAACCTAGAAAATTTATTGATCTCTCTTCAACTTTCCAGATTACAAAATCGCCACCAGACGAAAAAAAAATCAACCGCAGCTAGGCTCCTTGGAGAAAATCTGACTCACCTTCTTCTCTGAGGAGGAGGAGAACGACTCCGGGAGCTCTCACTGGGCGAAGAGGACGAACTCAAGGACTTCGAACGAGCGCGTGAGCGCGACCTCGAGCGGGAATCCGAGCCTGAGTAGGAGCGCGAATGAGATGAAACGGATCGGGAGCGGGAACGGGAGCCAGAAGAAGTTGCAGGTCGAGGCCGTCCGGGCTTCGCCATTGCAAAGCAGTTCCGGAGAAGGAAGCGAAACCCTAAGCTTAAACCCTAGCAGTCCGCTGTTCTGTTCGGAACGAGGCTAGCCGTCGTTAACTAAAAACTGTAAACTCAGAAGTTTTACTTTTACATTCTTATCAGCATCAAGAAATTTTCAGGACGAATTTAACATATTTGGATCGTAAGTACAATAATCACATGTCTTTATATTTGAGAGGCTAGACACATTATACATAGGCATTGCCCACAATTCTTACCTATTTACATATCTCACACCAAAAACTTTTATATTTACATCACTATCATGCAATTCTTTAATAACATATTAAAAATAGCATTATGATCATTTTTTTTTAAAAGTGAGATATATATATTTTCATGTCTTGACTTAAGCATGAGTGTTTGTATATAAATATTTTATTTTAAAGATATTTACATAAGGTTATCATGATGTGTAATTATTATCCACCTAAAGTTGAAATTTTACTATATAAATAGTAAATTTATCTTTTTTTAATGCACTTCAAGCAATTTAGCGTGCATTAGAGGATGTTGTTTTTTTTTTTTTTTAGAATAAACTGTGAAGCTTTTCAAGAAACAGTAGCGAAAGTGTTTTTATTAAGAAACAGTTTCCTAGAAACCAATTGCTGGAATAACAGTCAAACTGTTTGGATAATGTGTTGTGTTACAGATGTTTTTGATAAAAAAGAATAGATATAAATTAGTTGAGTGAATAAAGTTTTTAAAATAATTGTATGAGGATAACAAAAATAACTTCTGCAGTCAAGAAAACATTTCATGAGTCCAACTTTTTCAATACAACAATATTAGTCGTCACTTTGCACATAATATCATAATATCAAAATTTACAAAAACAACTAGTGATGTTATAATGACGTTCACATTCATGTCCAAATGGTTAAGCCTTCTAGACATTTTTTTGATCATAATATCTTTCCTAACTTAGTCATAGCGAACAACTCTATATCATCAACTAATCAAAAAGACTTACAAACTTTATGTGTTTTAATTAGGGGACAACAATAAAATTTCTTTACATAGTTGTCTTCTTTACTTAAAGTATATTCAAAATATTGTGTATCACGATGACAATATAAAGCTATTGAAGAACATGATGACATTGATCTCATTTTATTAGATTATAATCAAGAAAAAAGATATAACAAAAATATATTCATCGCTAGAGTCATAACCTTGAAATTAAAATATTAAAACAAGAAAGAGAATATATATATATATATATATATCAATCAATCTTCACTAAATATCAACTATAAAACACTATAAAATATTAGTTAAATGTATTCTATGAGCTCACTAAATCATTTGTTTTCTCTTCTTTTAACTGAATCATCTTTTGAATATCATTCACGTTCGATAGGTTCAAGTCAATAGCACAATAGTCTTTCTCTAGCAATGATTGTCTTACCAGATATTCGAATATTTCTTCAAGTATGCATGTTGTATTTTCATCTACAACTTTGAAATCAAAATTGTCCATTGATGAATGTTCATATAAAATTATATAGAGTTGTCGTTACAACAACTATCTTTATCTATTTAAAAAAAAAAAAACATGTTGGCAGGTCTCAAAGTGTGACCCATTTTTTCTTCCATTCATCGATGTTCTCTCAATAATACTTTGTAACGATTGATGTCTTTTGTTGAATATTTTAATTCTCTCTCTAATTTCTTATTTGTTGTGCTCAAAATTATGAATGTGGTGCCTCGTATCGTGGAAGAGTTTTAAAAAACCCAGTTGTTTGAGATATTCTGAATTAAAGATACAATGTTTTCACTAATGTACTAATCAGGTGGAGGCCTTGAAAATTTATATTCATGTGGTCAAGTAATAAATTGAGCATATGATTATCATAAGCACTGCATTTCTATCTCGTCATTAAAAATGCAAAACACATATTGAAGTGACAAATTGTTACGATATTATGTGTATTAAATCCACAATGTCTGATAGATGTAATTTTGTCATTGTTGCTAACACGCTCATTGAGAAGTGTGTCATCAGTTTATTATATACAATTATATTTAAAATATTCGTTATAGCAATTTATTTGTAAACCATGCATGCGGATTAAATAGATAAATAAATAAATTGGAGACCGACACATATCTTGTATCGTTAATATTTTTTCTTGATGTATGCACAAAAGCATAATCTATGAGTTTGACAATTTTGTTTGAAAATCTAACCAAAGAATTAACCCCAATATCAAAAGATATGTTAATTGTGCCTGCTGAGTGTTGGAATCGTATGAAAGCGGCACAAATTCACTAATTTTGTGAAAAAATATATAAATTGATGGTTTAAAGAACAAGTAATGTATATGACTAACGGTGTCATGCATCATTTAAGACTAAGTAGCATATGAGGTTAACTGTGTTATATGGGTTTTAATGCCATGCAATATATGCGATTAACTATGATTGCAAACAAGTGAAAACAATTATATAAATCATAGTTAATGATTAGTTAAGTTGTTTGTTCTTTTTTTTCATCATTGCTCTATATAATATTGCAAATACCAACGTCATCAAAACTCACATTACATATTAGATGCATAAGATTTGATTTATATGTATGCAAAATATCACAACCAACAAAAATCATAAACTGGAGCAACCTCAAACATAGATAAGCAAACCACAACCAGAGCAATCCCAAGCACAACCAGTCAATAACAACTAGAGAACTTTAACCACAACCAACAAAATCTCTAAACCAAAGCAAACACAAACAAATCCAATCAATTCCTAAAATAGGGCAACCCTGGCCACAACCAAAATAACCCCAACCCCAACCCCAACCAAAATAAATAAAACTACAACCAGAGCAACCTCAACCACAACCAACATAATTAAAACCAAAGCAACCCCAACCACACCCAACACTCAAGACAAGAAAAATCTTAAGACTAGAGCAAACTCGATTAAAGCTAATCAATATCTAAGCGAGAGCAAACCCAAACATAGCCAGGAAAACTCAAACTAGAGCAATCTTAGCCACAATCAGCCAAAACAAGCAACCCCGAGCACAACTAGGCAAACAACAACCAGAGAACCCCAACCACATCTAACACGGTCCACAATCAACAATATCCCTTAACCGGAGAAAATCCAACCAAAGCCAACCAATCTCTAAGTCAAAACAAATCTAACCATAACCAACAAAAACCCCAATCAAAGCAACCCCAACCAGCCAAGCCACAATCAGAGTAACCTCAAGCACATATAACAAAACCCCAACTAGAACAACCCCAGTCATAACCAACAAAGCCCACAACCAACAACTAAAACTAACCATAACCAACCAAACCCAACCAGGGTCAACCAAACCCCAACTAGAGCAACCCCAATCACAAACAATCAAATTCAAACTAGATCAACACCAACCACAATCAATCAGACCCCAATTAGAGCAGCTTCAACAAGAGTAAAAAAATGCAACCAGAGCAACATTAACAACATATAATCAAACCCAAACAAGAACAATCTCAACCATTGCCGAATGGAATGTGGAACCTAAAAAATAAAATTAAAAACAAAGTAATCATCCTCAAATACGAAGTCAACATTGAGTGAAAAGCCTAAATAAAGCGGAATGCACACCAATCAAACTCGTCAACACATAAAAAATCATAATTTAGAAATTCAGCAATAGATAACAGAAAATAGAAACCTTGCACTAAGAAAAAAAAATGCAACCCTAAATCAAAGAATGACATCGAGATACACATGTGATTCACAACGAAGACGGGGGAGATGAGAGAGAAGCCAAAGCAAAAAATACTCATAGCTATGTCATAAACCCAGAAGCACGTAGTGATTACGATGAAAAAGCCAAAGCCACAAAGGTAAATATCATGGATAAAATATATCTTTTGTGGATAGAAGGAGGAGGACAGCATCTTTTACCACCTAGGCTATGAATCGTTGCACGAAACCATGCCCGCTCCACTGTTTTTGAAACTCAGGTTTTGGGAATGATTTTACAAAAATCAAGTAAAAAACAGGCTCCGAAACACGCAAATTCTCCAAACCCACCACCCCCCTCTCACCACCCCGATATATTTTTTTGGCCACTACTTTGAAAAAGTTAGACATTTTATTATTTATATTTAGTATTTAGATATCTAATAGGTGAACTTTATTTTTCTTATGTTTATGCCATCCAAAATTTCATATGAGACCTACACAATCATCATTTAAATTTGAAAAAAAGTGAAATATATATTTTCATGCATAGATAAGTCTCATATGCATATATGCGAGTCTCCATTTATTTTAATTAAGACAAAATATGCAACCCACTTTCTCAGGTCTATTTGCATCTTGAGGCTGAAAAGCAATTGATTTTGACATATTCTCTCTTTAATATAGAAGCATGAGATAACAATAGATCTAAGTTCTTAGGTTCTTTTCTTTTCTTATTGGATGGTAACGCGGAAAAAAAGGGGATTTTATCTTCAATATTATAAATTTAAGTAACATGCTGGCAGTGTAAAACATTTATAGTGAAGCATCATACAATTCTATAGCGTGCGTGTGAAATAATTTGGTGTGTTATATTCATATAATATATTTAAATTCTTAATGTTTAATTTATGATAACACGTTTTGCTTCTGTATTGTTAACATATTCATAGAGAATATAAATTAAAATATGTTTAAAAGTCGAGAATTGAATTACACTCGTATATAAAATATTATATATTCTATATTATATGTATGCAAGCAAAAATCGACACGATTCTTCATAAAAATTTGGGCATGACAGATTTGTTATTTTAATAATTAAAACAACTCAATAAGAATACATAAGATAAACAACCATGATTCGCTCTCCCAATTCGTACAATTTGATAGTTAAGAAATCTCTCCTAAAATTTAAACCTAAGACAATCCAATCTCATGCATAAAACCTAACCCTAAACATGATAAGTCAATTTATAACAAAAAACAACAATAATAAAAAAACTAAGTTGCTCATAGAAATACAAAAAAAAAGCTTGTCTTTAGACTAGGCATAGATGTAACAACGTAATCCTGATGGAGAATGTAAGCTCTGGGCTCGTTAAGTATACGAGAAATAGAGCCTGCAAGTTTAGTTCTCTTCCAGGTTCAAATGACTCTGGTTGTAGAAGTACCGATTTATACATGATCGTCAGAAAAGCTCATTGTTTGAGAACTGTTTCTGTTTGAATAATTAGTTAAGAAAATCAAACAAAAACATATTTTTAAAGCTTGAATTATGAACAAACCAAATAAAAATAACCCTTTGTTTGATAATTCAATCAAGTTCAACTCTTCTTAGCTCAAAAAAAAAAAAAAATTACATATACCGTTAACCAAGTTTAAATCATCTCAAGCTTGTGTGGTCGCATTATTTTATGCTTTTTATTTAATGAAAATGAAACATGTTCAAATCAAACATCCTATATCCCTTTTTCTAATTAATTAAAAGAGTCAATTCGAGCCGAACACAAGATAAAAATGAACACAAACAATTCTTTGAGCCAAACATGAAATACCATTCAAGATCAATTTAGAACACAAGAAAATTTCAAACAAAAATAAAATATAAATAGTCAAACACAAACACATGATCAACTCGCTTAAACTCAGCTTGTTACACCCATATTTCGAGACAGTCACTTCTACATTCACACTATTTGCAAACCAAATTGAAAAGGTAAAATTTTACTCATAAATAACTTCATTAGTTTCAATTTTCAACAGGCTAAACTTGATTAATCAGGCTCCGATTCCGAGGCATGAATTGTTGCCAACTAGAGCCAAGGATGCTTCGTATGGGTCTCGGAGAAAATCTATGATGGTTGTGATAAAGCTTTTCATTCCCAATCTGAAAGAAATTTATCTTTTGCTGCAGGTTTCAGGTGCAATGCATATCCATACAAACATTGATACATGTCTTTAAATGCTACAGAATTATAAATGGTTTGAAACCAATACATGACTTTTTCTAATGAAATCCTGCATAATATAGTAGACAATTTAGAATTTCAATACATTTGATCATTCATCCAGATGATGCATTTCATGTCATAAATAATTAAACAAATGACAGATCATTCAAACATATGAATATAACCAAAAGAACATAATATTTCTGCAGCAGGATGTGGCATTTATACGGAGTAGGGCAGGTTAGAAAGGTTGGAAAAACAAAATACAAGAAAAAATAAAATAAAAAAAAGATCAGCAATAAACAGGAATCAAAACTGAGATGGGAACATGCCCCCAAGTCAATAAAATAAGTCTTCCTACGCTGATAAATTTAGTTTTTTTTTTTTTTTGTCGTATCACGTATCAATTTTCCTGCTAATTTCATTAGCCAAAAAAATGCTTCTTAAAAGTTACTTTGATTGGGGAAAAGATATGCTCTATTTTAAGGAGAGATGGTCTCCTGAAATACCAAATTCACAACATGATCCTTCTTATGGCGTTTTGATGCTTTTGGTTTCTCCTTCCACCTGTTGATATATTTATGGAATGTCATGGCTGGACTGCATCTTGGCAGGGATTTAACACGTGTTGACCGTCGCAGCTCACTTTCATCGATAAGGATCTTCTGAGCTATGTCCTTCGATCTCTTCTGTAATGCGGTGCTGTAAAGAGCCAAAAAAAAAAAAAAAGGTCATGTCTGGATCATATTCGATGTGATGACGATGAATCAGTTTTACAGTATAGAAATTACAAGTATTAAATCTAAGGTTTACTTACTTGTACTTACATATCTAACACCTAAGCTTCAAGTTTGGCAAGTAAAAGGTGTACCTCAGTTCTTATAATTTAAAATGGTGGTATTTTTTATGTGATCTGATGAAAAGATTTGAATGGTATGTTGACCAACAACAACAACAGAAAAACCTTTATCCCACCCACTAGGGTCGACTACATGAATCATTTTTTCTCCATTGCATCCTATTTAGTATCATATTTTCATTTAATTCTAATTAATTAAGATCATTTTTCATACAATATGCCTAAGTCTTCCTAGGTCTACCTCTACCTTTCTTAATATAAGTCGAATCTAAAACATCTACTCTTCTAATCAGATCATCAGATGGTGGACATTTAATGCGACCAAACCATTTAAGACAAATCATGTAAAACAACTCTCTCTAATTTTGTCGGTCACTCGAACTACACCAACCCTATCACGGATATATTCATTTTGCATTTTGTCTACAAGTGTAAAGCCTCTCATCCACCAAATCATTCTCATCTCGGCAACATTTAACTTAGTTTTATGCTTCCTCTTTTAATGCTTCTCTTTTAAAGACCAACATTCAGCACTATACAACATTGCAGATCTCACAACAATCTTATAAAAATTTCCTTTCAGTTTAAGCGACACTTTACTATCACACAACACAATAGGCCCGAAGCATTCCTCCACTTCAACCAACCAACTAGAATTCTATTAATAACATCCCCATCAATAACACCATCACTTTGAATAATAGAGCCGAGATATCTAAAACGTTCACAACTGTTAATAATTTGTTCACCCATAGTTACATTTTTGTCACTAGAGATACAACTACTAAAATTACATTCCATATATTCAACTTTAGTTATCACTTAAACGAAGGCCTTTAGACTCCAAGATAGATCTCCATAATTCAAATTTGTTCTTAGCTTTTTCTCTCGTCTAATCCACGAGAAGGATATCATCAGGAAAAAGCATACACCAAGGTACATCCTATTGTAAGTGAACAACTCTTGTATACATATCTTTAAGGACTTGAATATAAGTTATACCAACAACTTTCTTCTCAAGAACTCTCCAAATGACATCTCATGAAACCTTATGGTAAGCTGTTTCTAAATCAATAAAAAACATATGTAGATCCTCTTTATTATCTTTGAACTTATTATCTTTGAACTTCTCCAAACTTCTCCATCAAACCTTTCAATAAATGTATAACTTCCGTAGTAGACCTGCCCGACATAAATCCAAATTAATTATGAGAAATCTATGTAATACGTTTCAACCTATGTTCACTTGCCCTCTCCCAAAATTTTAAAGCATGACAGATCAACTTAATTCCTCTATAATTTCAACACTATTGTGCATCCCCTTTATTCTTAAAAATGGGATGGATGGTATGTGACCTTAAGATATAAAAAAAAGGAGACTTAATTAACTAATTAATTAAGTAATCACTTACTTATATCTCCCGCATAAGTTCCCCGCTCAATAGATAACTATTCCTGCTTCGTCAATTAAAAAGCACGAACAAAACTCTTATTCGCACAACTTTCCCTGCAGTTCCTGTTTGGCCTCTCCTCTCTCGTTATGCTTCTATCACAACAAGCCGCACACCGCACTTCCCTCTCGCGACTCTCCGCCTTGTCACTTACTGTTCAAAATCTACAATCGTCTTCAAAAGACGCGAAGTAATGGCATATCCCTTGCCTATTTCCCCGATGCATTTTATTCCTTGTTCGTCTGTTTCACTGCACTTCCTCTCCAATCTCTGTCGTAGTGCGTAATCCTCAAATTTTTTTCTTCTGTTTAAACCATTTTTCTTCTTTCGTCATGCATGTCTGCACCGCCCTTTCTCTCGATCGCTATAGAGTCATAGACCTCCTTATGTTTCTACTGTTTTTCCTACTCTAATGAATTCTCTGAGGCCCTCACCTTCATGTTCTCCAACTTCCCGCCGGTTTCCCCACATCAAAGTCGCAATTCCTCAACCCAAGAATCGATCTCCACTGTGTCGCGACTTCCTTGCGCCAAAGCTACAAAACCCTCTCTATCACACAACTGCTTACATGATCGTCCTCCACCGAGGCCTCTTACCTGCCACAACTCTATCAAAGGCCTCACCGCACGATCTCCCCTGCCCAAACCTTTCACACCTCTTCTTCCCATTTGATCACAAAAACCAAAGCTCGATGCCCTAGCATGTTGCAGACCTTTCCTTCGCGCGACACAACTCTATGTCACACACTGCTCTGCCCTAGCCCACGTTTCCCCACGTCATGCTTGTGATCACCTCACTAGGTTTCTCCTAGCCGCTCGAATGCTTCCTTTGTCGCAACCTTCTCTACGATCTTCTTGCCCACAGATCCTCTCTAATTGATCGAATTCCCTCACTGCTCTAGAGAACATTCTACTCCTATCTCTGTATGTTAACTTGAAACTTTTCCTATTAGAGCCCGATCCCTCCTACCTAAAGATCATTGCTAAACCGAGCCCAGCCAATCCATTTCTGTCCTACCCAAACGTTGATAGCATTTTTAGTGTTGATGTTATTTTATTTCATTTAAATATGTGCTATAATGTTGTAATGTAATTTAGTTGTGTTGTCTGGAGGCTCGAAAGGTATATTTTAAGGCAAATGCAGAGAAACTTTTAAAATTATCCACTTGAGAAAAAATGGGTCCCCGTTAATGGGGGAATTAAGTACCGTTTAGGAAAGAAACATACTTATTTGCAAAACCATTTTAAAATTGGGATTTTAAAAGACCCACTAGTTAGAAAGTGGTTAAAACACCCGCTAGTCAGAAAGTGAGTGCCTATTCATGGAGAATCGAGTACCATTCAAGGAAAACAAAGTACCGCTCGTGAAATGTTAATTTGCAAGCTAATCCTATCTGAGCAGATACATTGAAGGTCCCTTGCGTCTTTTAAGATCGTAAGTTAAGTTTATATTTTTTGTTCACTGACCTCAGTGTCTCACGACACTAACCAGCTCGTCTCATAAGATAGTTGCGAAGGTTGACATCCTCCAATGCCCCCAAATGGGGGCGGGAGTCTGCCGAAATTTTCGGTGAATTTAGACTTGTAATCACTTTAAAACATTTGGGATTTTTGACTTTTAAAATAAAATAAAACATCATTTACTCAAATTTTAAAATGACTTGTAAACTCGAGTTATTCAAAATTTTAGGCTCTTAGGGCTTAAAATATAAGCAGACCAGGACTTCTAAATATTTAAGCCCTTTAGGTATAAAATTACTCTAAAATTTGGGCTTTTAAATTTAGGCTCTTAGAATTTTAAAATTTGTCGAGAATGACAAACCTCTGATTGACTTCAGCTCATAAAGAGTGAATGTCATATCAAATGCACCGCTACATTCACAACCGCGTGGTTGGCTTAAAAACTCCACAAAATAGCGGTTACGACTTGAGCCCTCTGACAAGGTGGTTACCGCTAAGTGTATATTACGACTATGACTGCAGCCCATATGTTCTCCGACAGCTTTTTACCATTTGAGTTGTGAATCGTAAGTTTTCAATTGATGGACACAATTTTCTGTTAGCTACGGTCGACTTAAATTTATCCTCTTAGACAAACAACCGCCTCAAACCTACAAAGATCTATTGGACGAAGCAACCCATGAGTGTTGACAAGAATTCTTCTGTCAAGTTGGGTCGACTATCTCCTTTAACTAAGTGGATTAGGGACCACGATGACCCGAGATGATGAAACCATTGAATCTTGCTCGGGTTTCGTCTTCATTCTCCCACCATCCACTTTAAGCTTCAAGTGACGAATTCTACAAATTAAAATCTTCAGTCCACGCTATTATATGTTTAATATTAATTATCAATGACTAGATTTGATTGAAAGTATTCTCCCGTTATCAGGAGGGGTAATTAACCAATGAGGTTTGCGCCTATGAAAAACCTCGAATCCTAGATTAATAAGTCCTCATTAAATGAGGTCAAAATCTTTGGGTAGAGTGTTTTATCTACAATCTAATCTGTCTTCTGAAAATTCGACCCTCCAAAGCTCTCTCAACAAACAAATAATAAAATAGATATAAAGAGTGCCCTGGGGAGAGGTCATAATTTTCACAACCCACATGGTATAAGTGTAAAAAGTAAAGTTTATGTGTTAGATATGTAAATACATAAAATTTCGGTGGAATGTATGCAAATGCACCTAAATCTAAATCTTTTGAGATTGCCATGGGAATAAACAAGAACGTTAAAAATTCCAATGACAATCATTAAAGATTGCATTGCATAAAATCATATATGATGAGCTTAACGCAATCGAAAAAAAGTGATGAAAGAATATAAGTTACAATATATACTCGAGACGATGTTCCGATAGAAGTAAATTTGAGATAGAATACAAATTAAGAAGAGTCTTAATAAAAATATTGAATAAGTACAGACCTTAAGACCTCTATCTCCTATTATCCTTGAATATAGGCATTTAAATAGTGAGACCCCCACAAGCAAAGCTTATTTTCGTAGTTGGTGAAGAGGTTAATTAGAGACAACACTTTGTAGACTACTTATAAAGCTATAGGCTCCCTGTTAAACATTCTCTTGACCATCAAATTAATAAAAAAGCATCACCATTCAAATGCATTAATGAAACCTTGTACTGACATTCATTCAACCAACTTTGACTAAGTTGACTGGGAGGAAGTTATATGTTGGCTTGCTTAGAGCTCACTAATATAACCCTAAAATGAAATATAGGATAAAAAATCTTGGTTACAATTAGCTTTCAATGAATAATACTTGCCCAGACCTTGCATGTTGTTTTCATCAATATTAGATCATAGTGTGGTATTTTAGGAGCCATCGAATCTAGTCCATTTGATAATTTCCTTGTGTCTTTCACGAGCTAAAACACCAAGAAAGATATCTGCAATTATAAGTCATTGAAAGCAAATAGCGTGGAACTTTATTATCCATTGAATCTAGTCATTCCATAATATTCTTATGGGGCCTTAAAAAGTTGAAAGATCACATAATTGCATACGTACATGTAAGCAACTACTGATAATTTTCTTATACAGGAAGAAGCAATCTCATTAAGCTAAGGTGACCTATATGTTGCAAGGCTTTAGGGATCACATCATATATCTATTTCATGTATCATGTCAGAATCATATTTAATAATGGAACAAATTTAAGACAACAAAATAAAACAAATTGTTCGTTCATAATATGGATTGATGATATTCTACAATATATTACATGATCACCATAAAAAAGCATCATTTGCTACAAAAAGTAGTTTGATTTTGAACGCTAAATAGTATGATGTAATAGTGGGATAAGCAAACGCGTAAGAATATTCAAATACATAACAGCATACCTAATCTTAACATAGTACTTCTCCAGTTGTCTTTTAAGGTCTCTCTCCCTTTCACCCTTTTCATTTAATGAACCTATAAGCGCATCAAGCTGAATATATTGCAGCAAATTTTTATTCAGAGCTAGGAAATCTATAAGAATAATTTCATGTTTAAGCAAAATACAAACCTCTTCCTTGGTAGAATAGTAACCCCACTTATTAGAATCCGAGCTTTCCACAAAAAGTCTTCCTTCGCGCCGGAAGAACCAATACATACTATAGTTTCTATCTTTGCCAATGCAATTTGTGCGAATTGAAAGCTTCTCTACCTCCCTTTCAAAATGCTCTCTCTGCTGCAGAAGCATATGGATATTAGCTAGAAATACAAGGAAGAAGAGAAAGGGAAAAGTCTTTCGCTGGGAAGAAGAAAAAGATAAATATCTAATATTTTTAAAAAACCTGCTCATTAATTGATATTTTATCCTGATTCTCTCCATCTTTGTTCTCTATTCTTAGAGGCGATTCACTGCAACATTACAGAAGGCGGCACGATGAGCCTCAGCACGAGAAAAAACAGAATACAATAACAAGATGCTAAATATTCCATTTGAGGGGAGCAAATGCTTACCCATTTTCCATAATCAATTTCCTGTCAGCTGATTGAATCCTTCCATTAGCTTTTAAATAGCCATTACTATATTTAGGCGCACTTCCCATAGATAAATTTACATAATTCCCCTTACCATTTACCAACATGTGTTTCAAATTCATTTCTTCGGTGTGATTTTCACCTTCTTTGCGATGATGTTGATCTTTCTTTGTTTTGACTTCCTCTCTTTTTCTGGCTAAAAGAACCTTTTTCTGTTCGATACACTCATTTAGCCAATCTCTAATAGCATTTGTCACAAGTGCCTCTGCAACTAGTTCCCTTAGAATACCCAGTTTGACATGAACCTCCAGAAGACCATAATGTCCTCGTTTTATAATAGGAATGTGATCTGACAATTCTGGTTTGTTCCTCATCTCGAGAAAGTGGCATAAATAATTAGCCCAGTTGGTCAGTTTAACCTGAAAAGAATAAAGCATTGGAGCTTTGGTTTAAGCAGCAGATGAATTAGACTGTGCAAGCAAAGAAAATTAAAATTAATTCATATATTGAATTCCACGTTGGAATATTCTGGTAAAAATTAGACAATTAAGTTCACCTTTAATTTTTTTCTCTTGTTTTGAATAGCCACGTAATAGTCACCACCATCCTTAATGAGAAGCTTAAGAATTGCTGAATGAGATTCCAGAATAAGCATAACTTCACTATGCTTGTGACAGATAGCATTTTCAAAATCCTCGAGAGAGAAAGGCCATAAGTGCAAAAACCTGCCAAAAGATGTAAAGAAATTCCAAAACATAAGAAGATCGCCAACACAATCCATGGGCACATTAAAATCAGTAGATGGCAAGGGTCGATCTGTAAAGTTTGGATCATCTGCAGATGGCTTCACTAATAGATCATCAATTGGATAAATGATTGGCTCTTCAACTCGATTGTCTGTGAATTCATAACCAAAAGTGCAGTTAAATAATTCGTAATCTAAAATGTAATGCATTAAATAAAGCATAAAAAGCTCAGGAATACTTGCATTTAACAATGAAAGCTATTATAATGTCTAAGGATCACATACATACCTGACACGTGCCCATTTTCAGTTTTTCTCTTCTTCTGATTGGGTTTCAAATTTTGATTATCCTGGAAATGCTGTAAAGATAAGATGGTATACTGCACATTATCAAGCAGATGATAGAAACAAGACAGGAAATTACCAACTTATTTTTTGTTCCACCTCTCTTCCTATCTTTGCTGATGTCTAAAACACCATTTTGACAAGTAAGTTTATCAGTTGAGATCCCATGCTTCTTGGCAAACTTTTCATGAACCAACCATGGAGAAATCTGACAGGTAGACTCTCTGATAAAAGCTTTTAGGATACTTCTACTTAATGGCGGCTTCTTGCGTATCAGATCTTCTTCACTAACTACTGAAACATCAGTTACTTGTCTTTCTTTATCCAGCCAACCAACTTTGCATCGAGTGACTTCACCATCCTTTATAATTTCTATGATTTTGCAAGCACAAACGGACTCCCCTTTCTTCGCATGTAACTCAATGCCTTCATAGAGATTTTTCTGTAAATTTTTATGTATTTCATTGATAAGATCTGTCAAATTTAGAGAGCCTGCAAACAAAGATCTGTCAAACGAACACATCCTTTTAAAAATTTTTTAGCCATTTCTTGCACATGTCAGTAATCGTATTCCAAATTAAAGATACTAACAATGGAAAAAGAAGGAATGAGAAGAAATGAAATTATGTACATAAATTATGACATCCGTTCAAAACAAAGGAATAAGATTATTTAGTGTTGTCATGAACATGCGCATAGGGTTATGAGAAAAAAAGTTTGTTTTTTTGCTTCTTCATATATAAATAAAAGAAGTAAAAGGGTCGTGCGTAGAAGCTATAAGAGAATTAATCAAATTAGCTCTGCGAATCATAAAGAGTGAAAATCACCAGACTTTGAACAATTTTACAGACCCAATTTCCCTCTGATAGTATTTGGAGAAATAAAGATGAAAGAAAATCTTAGCAAAGTTACCAAAGTCTACGGGCCCGTTTGGGGCAGCTTATAAATGCGGCGGCGTTTTCAAAAACGCCGTTGTTGATCCCGCGGGTGGCGTTCGTTTGTCGCGTTTTGTCCATAATTACTCCCTTGCCCTGGAATCTCACGATCGCCCTCTGCCTCGCGATCGAGCTTGCAGAGCCGCTTCTTCGGCACTCCTTCTCTTTGCGTTGCTTCGGCACTGCTCTTTTGCTTTGAGCGTGCGAGGCATCCTCTCCCCTCTAAAAAACTCTACCAGTTCTGCTTTCCAATCTCCTCCCTCCTCTCTTCGAGGCGATTCGCTAGGGCTTTTGTCGAGGTTGTGAGGTTACAAGATTCTCTTCTCCGCTATGAATCCAGAATAGTAAGCTCTCATGTCTGTTTGACTCTTGGTTTCAAGGATTAGTTCTTGCTGGCCTAGGTTTTCTTCTCTTGCTCAATATCTTCACCGCTAGCTGTTCCTCTGCGATTCCCCCTTTTTTTTTTATGAAGGGATAAAATTGGTTTTGATGTATAAATGCTATTGACTAGGCGTGTTTTTTGGCAAGGCTACCCCTGTTAGCTGCATCCTTTTTATTTGTGCGATTGGTTTGCTTGCTGCGTTTCTTTGCCATTAGAAACACGTTTCCGTGGATGAGAGCTTCCATCGAATGAATCCTTTATCTACTACGGGAGGTTTATCATCTAACCAAAGCTGAGGTGTTTTTTTTTTTTGGCTACATTGATGATGGTAGCTATTTGTTGGGGTGTTGTTTCCAAGACTGCTAGTTAATTGATAGAAATGTTGGCTTACCTTATTAGCTTCTTATTTTATAGATGCTTCATGGTGAGTAGGTTAGACAGTTAAACATTTAAGAGCAAATTCATTGAGATCTTTAGCCTAAGATAAGACTACTGATTGTAGCATTTTGGATGTCATTTTGCTTTTAGTTTAGAATTATCTCAATGCTATAAGCTAAAGCATATGTACTAATTCTCCATTTTAGATTGTAGCATAAAACATTTGTACCAAACAGCTTATTCAGTACAGGGGCAGATTGGTCAATTTTTCAAAATCAGTTATTTTCCAAACGCACAAACCAAACAACCATACAGCTTATCCGGATCAGCTGCTCATGAGCAGATTATTAAGATAAACTGCTTATCAGCAGAAGTTGGATAAGTTGCAGCTGCCCCAAACAGACACTTAAGATCCCTAAAAGACATGTATACAACATATCTTCCAAAGATGCGGGGGTAGATATTTAATGGTAGAGAATGGAAACCAATGTAACAGGAAGAGAGTGATGTGGGTTGGAAGGGTAATGCACGGCAGGGCGGGGTGCGATAACGAAATGAACTAGAAAGACTGCATGTAAGAGAAACTAAAGAAAAAATAAGAGATCAAGCAAGCGGTCAAGAAGGAGATGATTGCAAAAGACAAGAATGCTGAAGCAGATATTCATGAAAATAAGACTTCAAAGTGAGAAAAGTGGGATAAATAAGATTTGTTGAACAAAACCATAAAGAGATGAAAGATTGACTGCATCTCATTTTGATATTATAATTTATTGAGGAAAGAAAAATAACCTACACATATAATTAAAATATATTTCCAAACATAGATAGAATCAACATGCAAACAACTTTAATCATAGGAGCACTAGATTCACATCATAGAGAACCAGCCTTTTTTCATCATCAATCAATAAATTACAAATCATAAGTCTCTATTTATAGAATTAGGGTTTCAAGGATAACACTCATATTTAAATCCAATGTAATACCATCTAGAGACAACATTCGAATACTCCAAATGTGATTCATAAAAAAAGTTTAATTTATACGTGTTATGTACATATAAGTTTTGGGTTACCTTCGAAAAATTACGTAAGATGACATGTAATAACTGAACATTTAATGTATTCATATATTAATCACAAAACATCATAATTCCCTTGGGTTAAATTAAAATGAAAATTAATATCATGATATTCATCCCCATTTCTGCACCTGCTATGGCTATGAAACATATTTCACAACTAAATTTGTTCTTGCAAAATCATACCCACTGTTCTGAGATTTTCAGGTTACTAGTTAAGCAAAATTGAAGAAAGAAATATTAGTTTCATACTCCTAGCATCACAGGAAGATGATTAATGTTGGGTAATCGTTGACATCATAAAATAGCTATTTAGGGATAAATGCTGATATAGTTACATTAATTTATGATTTCATGGATAAACTACAAGATGTAAGTGGATTTATCCAAAACATCCATAAATGTAACAAAAATATAACAAAAAAAATAATCTTAAAATAACTGGAGAAAATCAGAGGTGCTAATAAAGCTAGAACTGAGCAAACATTTGGCAAAAATTCTTACTGTATTGGATCATATTCAAAACATGCGGCACCAATTCACCAGGGAATTGCTGCACTCTCTCTGTGGCATTATGTTCAGAGACCAAAGCCTCTTCATATGTCAAATTAATTTTTCCTGTAACCTTGCAAGTCCATAATCTTCGGCGATAAAGATTTAATCTGTTTAAGTATTCTCTGGTTTCCATTAAGGAAATAAAACAACCAGATAACATCAGCAGCTTTTTGCATAAAATAAAAAATCAAATTACAAAAGACATGGCTATACAGTATAGAGGCTTTACATCATATAATAATGTCGGAAAAACAACTAAAATAAGACTTATTGAATAAAAAAGGATACTGATAATCCCTAAAAATCTCTTTTGTGAATCTAATTTGGTAAACAAGTTCATTAGGATCCAGATCCTTGGGTGGATCAGCTAGAAGATAAGGTTTTCTCTTATAAAGAGGCATGAGAGCTGGCAAACAAATGCTCTCACAATGCAACCCCAAACGACAGGTTCAACTTAGGATAACCCAATGCCTTGACCTGAAATCCAAACCTTCATGTAAGCTTTTCAAATAATCATTACAGCATGACGTGCCAGATGAGATTTAGAATCCAGAGCACCAAAAGAAACAACAACTAAAGTATAATAGGACAGAATAAACGCTAGCGAACAGCTTAAAACTGCTCTACATGGCAAACGCAAACTTCCAACTACATTTAGGTGAATGTTAAAACACGCCCAATAAAATTTCCACAACAAGTGTTGGAATACTGAAGCTTTACGAAAAATGAAGACCTAGATGACAAAGCTCCAACAAATACGCTCGCCGCATTTTGATTTTCCATATAAGCTCAAACTCTCAACGATTCATCATGCAATCCCCAGAAACAAGACAGAAACGTGTGCACATAACAGAATAAACAATCCAATAACAAGGGCAATAATCTGCGCATATTGGGCTCCAACAACAAAGGCCAATACTGACATTCAATGAACACGCAAGAGACAAAATCAATCGAATCCTACAAAAAATGCTAATAACCTGGAAGAAATACCGCGAAAAAAACGGTTCTGACGGAGGCAGAAGCTCATGACCTAGATATCACGTGAACCTTCATCGTTCTTCGTAGAAAAAGGATCGAAGAGAAGCATTACCAGAAGTTAATCCATCGGAAAGAAGCGATTCGAACCCAAAATCCATTACTTGGCGAAAGAAGAGCTAAGTAAGAGAGCGGAGAAGTTGAAGAGGGCGGCAAATGAATACCTCGGGTCGCTCTTCCCCAACCTCGACTTCTCTCTTAGGAGAAGCCAGCGGTCTCAGGCTCCTGCCGTCATTTATATGCTACTCTGAGGGCTGTCCTCTCGCCTTTCAAAACCTCCTTTTTTTTTTTTTTTTTTTTTTTTAAGTGAAATGAAAACAATTAGTTTTAAAAAGTTTATTAATTCGGACAAAACAGTTAAAGAACGGCACGTGTCACAGGTGAATTTTGAATGGCAGAACGTTTTCTTACCATTTGATCATTGTACAACGGCTCTGATTACGACCTTAAAACAAGCATGACCCCTTTTCGAAGCCTATTCGGTTGTTATAAATAAAAAATATATTTATAAAACAAAACTTTTTCCAAAAAATTAAATTTATTAGCATATTAATATTAAAAGGTCATGCATTTTTTGTTTTTGCATTTCAGTTCATTTAAATGAAAGAAATATATCAAAAATAAGTTAAAAATTTGTGAATTTAAGAATCAATGATTAAAAATTGCACCATTCTGCAAAATTAAATCGTTATATATATAAAGAGTCTAATTCCCACATTTTAGTATTCCCACATAGGAATATGTTGCTCAATACTACTTTCCTTTTACACATTAAATTTATTTTAAAATATTGTTTCATCCTATTTTATAATAGTGTAAATTAAAATTAATTCGTATTTCCATTTTTTCCATTTAAATAGGATTCCTAATGAAAATTCTTCCACCCATACACGATGTGGGACTAAAATTTTGAGTGGCACGACATGTAAAAACTAGAAGTAAACCCTTAAAGCGTTTACATGCATACCACCCGATTTTATCACCCAAATCCTATTTATTTACATATCTAATATCTAAGCTTATATATTTAATAATTTCCCCACCCAAATAATTTTTATAAATAGTGAATTTTAAATTTTTTTCTTACATATAAAAATTAATATAAAACAAATAAATATTATTACTTAATTATTTAGAACCAAAACAAGCCGTACATAAACCAACAAACATTTGTTTATTGTTTAAGAACTAAAAACCTCACTTCCTTAACAAACAAATTAAAACAAGCTATTTAACGAGTGAAAAAAGAGTTGTTGGCAAACAACGAGCTTTTTTGACAGTCCTATATGTGATACCTTGATCAAATTTAATATATATATATATATATATATATATATATAGTATGTACTCCTAAAAATAAGAATTAGTTAGATCGCCATGATAGTACTCAAATCTCAGTAAAATCAAGATTATATAAATGAATTCTAATCAAATCTTAATGAGATTAATTTTTTTCCCCCAAAATCAAAATAATTGCATGACACAATTTATGCAACCCCATGGAGAACATGAACTGCTTTAAATTGTAAGCACTACATTTGGACATAAAGATAAAGTAAATAAGAGAACATAACTTCTGGAAGGCTAATGTACTACACTTCCAGCCTTCTAATGCACTTAAATGGATTTGACTGATCATACTTATTTCTGATCAAATAACCGCTCATTTTGGTCATGTATCTTACACTTCTAAACATAAGTTGTATCAGAAGCAAATCAAAAGCCTACATCATCACTGAGGCATGCGAGTAATATTTGCAAAAAAATTTTGGGGTCGGTGAACTAGCATGGGACTTTTCGATGAGACAGGAAATACCAAGCCACCTGGCCACTATCTTTTCCGCAATATTTGCTACTACTAATCATGTAGAATGCTTCATTGTATTACACGAGGTTAGCAGGAGGTATGTTTCACTATTTCTGCATCTCGGATTACTATTAAAAAATTAAAAAAAAACAAAAATCTAAATGCAAAATAATTGCTGAGGAAGATCCCTCCAATTTACATGACTTTCCAGAAAATTGATCCCGACTTCGGCACTCAGCACCTTTCAAAAATCTTGTAGAGCTTATCGAGTGACGCAATCTGTAATAAGATGTTTCAAAAGAAAAGAATGTGAAAGTAAGCATGCGGTTGGCCTTTTTATTTCGCGAATTCATAAATAGAAGGCTCTAAGTGACTTGAAGGTGAGGGATTTAAGAATTTACAAAATCTTCTTCACCAAATATTTTGATAGCCAAATAACTTTCAGTGCAACCCCTAAAAACTTTCGAAATCTCAAATAAATTTGAGGATCAGTACAAATATTATATCAGAGTTCAAGTCATTGACACACTATTGATGGTAATTCAAAATCAAACATAACAGGCATAAATAAAAATATATTGAAAAAAAAAACTCTTGGATTCAGGATCAATGTGCAGCTCTGACAACCTCTCCGTAGTAACATATTTCCTTCAGTACGAGCCTCTGCTGAATAATTATATCTACATCAGTTGCCATAATTGAAAAATGTATTATATTCATGTGCAAGAGGCATGTCGGATAAGAAAAGTTTTTAAAAGTACAAGTGTTTAATGAGTAAAAAATGAAAACGTTCATCAAGGTCCCTCAAACAATTTAGATGGAGCCTACTGTAAACTACCTGCATTTTTTATCTGAAATAGCAGAAATAACCTTCAAGATCGAAGGGATTATGTCATCCATTTCAGAATTCAGTTGAAGCCAAAAAGACTGGCGTAGCCAATATGTTTCATGAAAGTGCATACTCTTATCCCATAAACAAGTTGAATTTTCTGAAAAGTAATATACTTTTATAGTTATTCATAATCATTTGTCAAGTTAATTTCCAAGTTTCTCTTAGAAAACTAAGATCGCATTGAATTCTCAAAAATTCCTCTAAGTTTCCACAAATATAAAAGGCATGCCAGCAATAACTTCAATAGGAGCAATGTTTCTTAATTTTAAGGAGAACTAGGGCGAAACATTTCAAGCAAAGATAGAAGATAAAAAATATAAAGCCTGTAAACCAAGTTTTTTATAAACCTGAACAAAGGTTCCATTTGTGGCCATTGCATTTGGTGGCTTGAGGAAAAGCCTCATGGATGGGAACAAAGCATGCTGAATAGTCCACTCCCGTTGTGCCCATGCTGTTTCAGCTTCCGCAAGCAACTCTGTGTCCATATCGCTATCCGAAACATCATCTGCAATGCAGCCAGGTTATCTAACAAATGTGTTAAGACTGAGGATATGAAGGTTACGCTTGAAATATTGCAATTCAGTAGTAAAGTTCGCAATCTAAGCATGATGGTTGAACAGAATCCAGAACTAATACCTCATACAACGACTAAAAGGCAAAAATCCAAAACAAGTAACAGTAAAATGCATGGTGTAGGTAGATCACTAAGATGGAATATTAGCTAACCTTAAGCCAGTAAGGTTTTAATATCTGTCGCTTTAATATGTAAAAAAGGCCTGTTTAGATAATGTAAACTTTATCTAATCAAGAACAAATCTTGATCAGAAGCCACAACTTAGATTGAAGAGGAGGTTCACCAACAATCCTACTCATAATCCAGCATCACTCATCTTTTCACACCACAAATTAAGAGAAAGAACAGTTTGATTAAGAACTAAAGACCAACTTCAAGGTTTGACTGCGCTAAAAGGGTTGCCACAAAACCAATAAGCTTAAGATGAATAAAAGAAAAAAAAAAAAATTATCATTATCCAACTGGTGCGGCATGCTTGGTGCGGCATGCTTGCATTTCTTTGTCTGAGCGTGCATGTTCGTATGAATAAAAAATGTCATTTGAAAGGAAAACAAACTTTTAAAGCAGATTATGCGACATATATGAGAGTTGCTTGGAAATTAGATCACAGAAGGGACAATAAAACAACTAACTTCTTGAAAGAGTCTTTAAATGCTCCTTAGAGTCAGTGAATCACTAAAAACTAATATAAATTGGCCTAAAATAGCTCATAATGTGAGGTCAAATGCATAGATGGGTACAACAATTTACTAAATTTGCATCCTTAAAAGGAGAGGATAAAGCTAACCAATCTAACACATTTCATTTTTTTTTAAGCGTTGAACTGAGTTTTCAACATATGAATGAGGTTCGTCATGGAGTAGTATACCACACAATGAAGATAAACGTCGCTCCACTCTCAGAAGAAACTTGCTTCTCAAGGTATATATTCAGCATTAGAGGGTTTCATCATTTTTCAAGCAACCTTAATCCCTAACCAGAAGAGTTTGAGGACCTGAGGTCAAGTCCATATCAGTCAGAACTTTACTTCCTAAGATCTGTTTGGGGTGGCTGCAATTTTTTAAAAAGATAGTTGTAAAACTGTGGTGGAGAAAACAACTATTTAAAAAGTTACGGTATGAATTATAAGTATAAATATTTCAGTAACTTTCTTACAACCATGCACACATTAACGGGTTAAGTTGAAAAAACAGCTTCCCACCACAAAAAATTCTAGAAAGTGGCAAGAAATAGTTCACCAAACAGAGCTATGGTATCGGTTTGAAATGCAAAACAGGTAAAAAGTTATCCCAAACAAAACTTAAAATTTTCTGCTTACCTAAACCATGCTTTACCACAATGTAAAAAACAACATAGAAAATAAATTCTCATCATAATTGAGCTGAGGAATTTACAAAATATTTATAGTGACCTGACTTTCACATTTAACATCATCTTTACTAAAGTCAAATGTTTGTGATACTATGACTATCAGCCAACTAGTTGTTTCAAGGCAATCAGGAATGAGATTTCTTAGACATAACTCAAAAAAATCTACCCATAATTAAATTAAATAAAGGGGAATTTATATATATAGAAAAAGATGGGAGAATATGAAAAATCGACAACTAGCATACCAGACATTGTTGAAGCATTTGCCACATTGGTGGCTATATCCTTTTTATTATTCTTATAAAATTGTATTCCATTGCCAGAAGGATTCGGAAGGACAGGAGGTTGCATAGCATAGAAGCTCCCTATAGCAGCTGCAATTGTTTCGAAGCAGTCTTTCTCACTGGTCCAGATAACCTACAAAAATGATGACGTGTCAAACATAAGTTCTACATTAGTATGCAGAAAGAATAAAGGAATTACAATTGCAAGAAAAGAGGCTATACTGCTACAATATTATTAGAGGAACCATAAGAAAACAGTAATGTTAATTTATAAAAATCATAAACAGGTGCCCACAATGTGCGCTACTATACAAATCACAGAAATCAAAAGAGAGAAGTAGAAACTTTTTTTTTTTTGGGTGTAACACTGCATACCTAAGTCACTTGATGGCATTAGATTTCAATTTATATAGAAACTACTTGGAAGAATCGAAAGTATTATCCCATATAAAATGTCATATGAAATATAGCATGTGTGATGGAGGATCCCATTTTTCTTACCAAGAGATATGAATGACATCTCAAGTAAATTTTGCACAATATGCCAACCACTCTACATTAGTTTAATCCAAACAATTTAAAAAGCAAGCTCTGAGATTTTAGTACCAATATAGAAATCCTTCCGAGTTAAAAGACAAAAATCTACCTTCCATAGTTTTAAAGAGTAAAATGATTTTTATCCAACAATTATAGCATCACAACTCAGCCTGCTATAATCTATATATGCTAATAAATTATACTAACTTGAGTACATAAAAAAATATTTAATACTAGATCTATTTGGAAGGAATTTTTTTAACTTCTAATTTTCATCACATAATAGTATAAAATAAATCTAAAGATTATCATTGTCACATATTTCTTTGTATATATAGAACTTTCTACGTCCAAACTATTTATATACAATAATCATGATTTTTAATAATCTCAACGAAACGTACAAAATTATCAAGGTCACAAACAACATACATATAAAATATACCTCTGTCAACAAATACTATCAACTCACTCCATTGGAGCCTTACACTTCTCTGAAAACATGTAAATGCAACAACTGTCAGTGAACAGCTCAATGAGTTACAAAAAACTTACAATTGAAATCAATGTAATAAATAAAACAATATACATGTAAGCTAAACAAGTAAATTTATAGATTACTAAACAAGCATATGTATACTGTATGACATAAATCACAATAAGATGTCAAATCATAATAGTAATATGTATACAGTTTATATCATCAAGTATAAAAATTATCACATATATATTATGTATACTGTATGACAAATCACAATAAGATGTCAAATCAAAATAGTAATAATGTATACCGTTTATATCATCAAGTATAAAAAACATCACACATATTATACAAGTTACTCTGACTAATCATATGTGGTGTTTTTTACCGTACCAATCATAGTAAAACAAATACAATATCATATAATATCACATCAAGAATAAAACTGGTAGAACAGTTAGTCTAGTGACATAGTACACGGGAGTCGTCACCCCAAACCCGTCGACTCTCATATCATATCAAATTCATCCATTATGAATCACAACATATATCAGGTTTACACCACTAACTCATTTAAAGAAAAGCCCATTGGCCCACCCTCCTACACAATGTATCATATCTCTGATAACCTGAATCATAATAACCAACCTTTCTTGCATACACACATTCCACAATATCATAACATTATTAATCAACTATAAAAACATGAAATAATATGATCAAACTACATGTAACAACTAAAATAGAAATTGCACATTAGCCTGTAAGCAGTCATTTTTGTTTCAGTATTTCATAATATATAATTTTAATTATATTTTTATAAATTTTTATATAACTCAAATTAAAACTTTTATCCAAATAAAAAAAAAACAACAGGTGAAAATTCAATTTACTTATGTCAAAATGAGCAGAATAACTAGCACAAAAACACATTAAAATTACACAGAAAAAAATTTCAAAATATAAAGATATCATAAATCAAAAACTTTGGAATTTTTGGATATCCAAAAATTTGAAAAACACAAAAAACAAAATCAATGAAATCAAAGGTAGGATAACGCCAACCTGCCTTGAGTCGGTCAACTTTCCCAACTAGTACATCACATGAAAATCGAGTCCAGATCTCCAAAATTTCACTTAAGTTTTCCCTCTCCCTTAATTCCCAAATGCCCGCGGTGTAGGCAAATGAAGGGGTAAAGTGAAGATTCTGGATAACAGAAAATGAGTGGATTTTGTTCATCCAAATTATTTAAAATCATTTGTAAAGTTCATAAAAACTTTTTATATCTTGAAATCTAGAACTTCAAAAATTATGAAAAAATAATAATGATAAAGGTTATCATGTCCGGGACACTGGCAAAAAAGGTTTGCAAAATAAATGTCAAACAACTCCAAAAATAAATTTATGCCCACATATTGCCATTTCTTAAGAAATTATAATTGTATTATTAACCTTTTATTTTCAGTTTATATTTATCATTAAAGTATGAAAAAATCATAGAAATCAAAATTCCTCGTTTTCTATAGTTTTGTGAAAACAATTTACCAATCAGGCTTATGATAATCTTATAAAAATTATTCAAAGCTTATAGATCAAATATTTTTTTTATATATTTTCAATTATTTATTTATTGTTATTAATCAATTATTTTAAAAACAATTTAAATGCCAAAATAACATAAAAATGCATCTTAATGGAGGACAAAATGAAACATTCATTCTTAAACCATATGTTTGACTATTGTGGTTGATTATCATGTACAATACCTGGGTATTACATATAATGGGCTTAACCTACCAAGTTAGCATCCTTATTTGACTCATGCAAACCGAACTATGGCTATCGTCAGGCAAGCATATGAGAAAAAAACCTTAAAAAATCCTAATGGGCTGGGCCCAAAAGGTATGAGTTTAAAATAGTTGGCCAAGAACTTGTGTATCACTTTTATCAACAACCTACCACTGTAATCACCAGTCATCACCACCAATGAATGCCATAGCCACCGCTATAATTAGTCACAACAGAATTATTTCAACCATGGCCTCCCGTGAAGGGACCCAGACAATATCGATCTCTGAAAATAATTTAATGTTTCGGATCGTTTGACACAATGCATTTTGCAAATGGATGACCTGTGAGCCATTTCAACGGCGATTAGGGCATTTCAACTATGACTCAAATGCAATCAAAACTGTAGTTCATTTACAATATGTTCGATTGAAACAATCATGTGAGGTTTCTTTATTTGTATTTTTGGCATTCCAAATGCATCAGTAGACAATGTTTAGGCAGTGTTGATTCTGATCGAGACAATTTGAATCAGATTTGAATAATTGTCCATGCTTAAAAATTTTGAGGCTCCAAATGCATCCATACAATATGTTCTGCAAATGGGCAATGTTTTGAATTATTTTGAATAATATGTTACCTTTCCATCGGCCAATGTGACAATCAATGTGAACATTCTTCTTAAGCAAATGCGACATCTTAGGCTCGTCAGTCAGGTTTGCAATATCAGATGAACGTCAATTTAATACATTTTGATATGATCGAGGCATTTTAAGTTGATTTAGTGAGATATTCTATTTGACAACTGTGATTGACTTTGATTTCAACCAGATTCGATTCATATTGCACCATGATATATATGCATTGGTCAACACAAACTACGATGGATTACTTGCTACACTAATTATGTTCTCTAATCCCTTTTGATTTCATCAAGAAGGAAGAATCATGAACAATGCATATCTAAAATGCTTGTGGATGAATATGGAAAGAGTGAGTGAGCAGCAAATATAAAACTACATGTGAATTATACATCTTTAAGATTGGTTTTAATGGAAGCAATGCCAGTGGATCTTTTTTCAGCATGCAGGCAATGTTAAAGAGTTTAGGGCCATGTGCGCTGGGACGAGGTGAAGAGGGGGCAGAATCCAAGAGTTTGGGCATGAAGTTAAGAAAATTATGTTGAAATTTTCCAAAAAAAATCAATTTATGAGCAATTTATCATATATATAAGTAAAGTGAAACAGAAATGGAAGCTCAGTACAATTAAATGTACAAGAAACAAATACTGTCAAATTAAAAATATATATAAGAAGGAAAAATGATTAGCACATACATCATTACCCAAAGTCAACAAGAACTCTGGAACATGGTCCATGTCAGGAGTGTGCTGGTCCAGTACAACAGGAAGCCTTGTCAGGTTCTGTTGTTCATCTATGTGAATAGAAAAGTACTCATCGAGCAACTCAGCCTTTTTCATTAGTAGATCAGTATTCATCTGCGAGGAAAAGATAATTATTAGGATGACTAAACATGCATTCCAGCAAAACCATTTTGCAATTTAAAGATCCCTATATCATCTCGATCACACATTTGCAAAATCAACTGTGGAGCAAGTTTCCATCTTAAGGAACTCCTATCAACAACAATAAAAATCAAAATAATTGGTATTATCAAACCCCAACTTCTGTAAGCTACAAGGATTCTATACATCATATCAATTTTTTTCATTCACAAAAAACAATCCAAATCAGATACATCCTCTTGGACACCTCAAGGGTTCCGCAATGTCCTTATTCCAACAAGATGATAGCAACAAAAAATTATCAGATAAATTTCTAGTCTAATTCATTGTTAGAAATCAATAACATAAGACAAAAATAATGTACCTGCGGAAAAATTGAAGACAATGTTTACAAAACATAAGATGATAATTTACCTCAGCAATCTTCTTTCTAAAATCATCATTTTCATCACCAGTAGAATCCAAATCTTCATCTTTCAACGCCATCATCAATAACTCCAGAAGAGGGGCTGGTTCACTAAGTTGCATAGCATTAAAATTTCCAAATCTGCGTATGACTTGTTGATACATAAGCTCTTTGCTGTTAAAAAAGAAACCGTTGCACAGTTAAGAGGCGCGCAATCTGTTTAAACATGTTAAAAAGCATTTAGTAGAAAACCTAATGATATAATGTAGGAACAAAGAGAATAGAGCTCAGAAGACATATATTTGCCTAGAAAGCAAGTAAATCAACACGTACTATTGACTTTGCAAATATTGTGAGTTACGAAAAATTCATAGATATAAAAGAACTTGTTGACCTCACTTTTGGTTGAGGTCTAAAAACTTCTTTAGTAGCCTAGGTCTAGCCATAGGACTTCCCTATTGACTAGTCTTAGAAAATTAGAAAAGGTACCCCCACCATTAGAAATTTAAAACTCTTCTTTTTACTCAACTTGAAATTCCACATAATGATCTTAACCTCTAGCATTTAGTAGATAAGATCATTATAAGAGAATTCAAGAAGAGTCCCTATAGGATTACTTGGCTTTAGGATTGACCCTGGGTGTTGACTTGGAACTAGGGTACACCATATCTTCACAATATATTAATCCATGGTTCATTTAGAATGGATATCTATCCAATTATATGTGAAATGCCTAACTTGGTCTTTCGCCCCGAGGCACCTCCAAATTACCTAACTACACTTGGGACCTAAATTTGGCTAAAATTCCCAAATTTTGCCAAATTACCCAAAATTGATCAAAACCCATTTCAAACACCTTGAATACATCCAAATTTGTCAAAATTTCCAAAAAATGACCAAATTACCAAGATACCCCTCCATGACCCAAAATCCAAAAATTCC